ACCCATGGGGGTGCCTCTCTTTTATAGCTAATACAATCCTAGTCCCAATAGGAGCCTGGCCCTAATGGACTTAGGATTACTGCTAATCTAGGACTCCTAGTAGGATTAGGATAAACTCTCTAAGAGTCTTATCTTTACCCAAACTGAAGTCTTCTCCCAATCTAGGACTCTTGTCTATATCCAAGTTGAGTTCCCTCTTCATTCTAGGACTCTTGTCCCTTATTCGCTTATCTCGGATTCCGATATCTTCGGAGATAACCTCGGCCTTGCCGAGATCACCTCGGCGTCACGACCAGGACACGTGGCACCTCGGCTGACACGTCGGCGTCACCTTGCCACGTGTTGGTACTCAGAAAATATATCCCCACAACTGCCCCTTAGGTTCTATTACCTCGGTATTCTGAGGTGATGGAACCTACACTGTTCGTTCATTTGTGCCCCTCTGTCCGAGATCAAACTTGCCGACCTCAAAGTTCCCTGGACTTTACTGTCCACTGGTGTCAAGAATCAAGTTTCATGCTTTCCAAGCTGCTTGAAATCGCACCTCCTAGCCGAGGTTCTGGTTCCATTAATTCGTAAATTCCAAGAGCTTTGCAACTGCTCCACTCACACTCTCTGGTGAGTTCCCGATTTCCAGTCATCTATTTGACTCCGGCGATTTTCATATCGACGTTCATTTGGTAGGTTCATAAATTCTTACTTTTTATTAAGCTCAATTGATCTAGTTAACCGATACCAAATTCTTGGTTATATTTCTAAACCTAGTTACACTTCGGTTCTGGCTTTAGACCTTTTTGCCTGCCAGTCAATTCCACCAATGCCTCCTAACAAGTCTACCCCAAGAACAGATTATGTTCTTAAACAATCATTCAATCTCTTTTACAAAGAACCAGTCCACAAAAATATTCACAATGTCCTTGAATTAGTCAAATCCTATTTCCCTAATAGATGGCATTTCATTCCTTCCCATCCCAATAAGTCAATAACCTTTTATAAGGATATTCTTTTCCACCATAAGTCAATCGTCATTAAACCTATCTATGATCGAGTCCAGACCAGTAAAATCATTCATCATTCCTTGTTCCCATGGAAGAATGAGGTATCCTTTTTTTGCTACGAGACCTTTCTAACCATGATATACAATATAGTTACTATGATTACATTGATGCTTGGTTTAAAATCCTCCTACATCAAAATGAGTCATATAGTCATTCTTGGTTTTTCTCATTTGACCACAAATTCAAATCAGAATTCCTTTATTGGTTCTTGAGATGGTGGTCATAGCATGGTGCCATTCCCGGAATCATCCCTTCTGAGTTAATAGAACAAGTCAATTACTTCTCTTCCATTTACAAGCTCAGCCAGCATAAAAGTCAGTTTCCTTGGTTACTTCATTTCATGACCAAATATAAAGTCACTTCATTTCATGACCAAATATAAAGTCCCTTGGATTTTTAAATGGCAATACAGTCCATCCAATAACATAGTCAGTCGTCAACATTTTGTTAAATGGTGGGATGCATTCAAAATCCATCGTATTATTGAACAAGTCCAGCAAGAATTTCCAGTTAACATTCATGCCCCAACTCCTTCAATGGTCAAATCTTAGCAAAATCCAAATGCTTCAGTCACACAAGGAAGTCCACTTCCTCTCACTACAGTCAGGCTTGGAAGTCCATCCACCAGCATTGAATCTTCCAAATCCAAGTCATCCAAGGCCAAGCCCAAAGCAAAGCCCAAGTCAACTTCTAGTGATGAATTGATCCAAATGGCCAAATTATTGATGGCTCAAGCAAAGTCACAAATTGAAGATGAAGCCTCGGATGATTCAGCCTCTTCTGAAGCCTCAACCAGTCATGATCCATATGGTCCACAATTCCAAGATGCTCAGGACTCATATGCCTAAAAAGTCATTGGATTCCATATATGTACATCAGCTTCAATCACTACTCTTGTTTTGAGAAAAGCTGCTGATATATATATATATATATATATTGATTCCCCATTAGTTAACTGTGCAGTCACGTTCCCTCACTGCAAGTATAAAAAAAAAATAGTAAAAAAGTTCTCAATCACAGAAAGATGCTTTTAGCACCCATGTACCTCTTATTTTCAGACTTTTCAGAAGTCACAAGTTTCACAGTATTTTTCAACTTTTGAAGTCACAAGCCTCACAGCTCTAGTCACGGGCCTTACAGTTCCAAGTTCACAAGCTTAACAGTTATCCACTTTGCCTATAAAAGAGGCTCCTCAATCACGGCCAATACAGAGGGAGAAAGAATTTTCTTTCATAGTTTCTCTTAGTTTCTGTAAAATTTTAAGTTTGTTTTAAAATTCAGTTTTTAAGGATGCAAGTAGAAGTTGTATTTTCCAGTTACTTCCAGCAAACAATTATGTATTTTTCGATTACTTCCAGTAACCGATTGTAAGTTTATTTTATTTCTGCTTATTTAAGTTCTTATTTAAAAATATTCTAAGTATTTTATTTTAGTTTATTTAATTTAACTTGTTATTTTAGTTTATTTAAGTTTCTGTAATTTAGTTTATTTAACTTGGTCTATTTATGTTTTAATTTATGTGCTGCGAAAGAAAATATGTGAAATGTAAATATATTTATTCACATTTCATATATTTTTTTCCTTTTCTTTTTCAAATTTTTTCTCAATCAACCAAATACAAGAACCATTGGTGGTGAAGTAGAATTAGTCCTAATTGGATTTAAAAATATGACAAAAGTTGGGTCATAAGAGCATCCTCGTCAAGCTTTTCAAATTTTATTTTAGCTAAAAACTTCAAAAAATCATCTGCATCAAACTCGCGTGCAGCTCATCAAAATTTACGATCGATATAGCAACTCGTTACAACAAGCGAGGCACTGTTCATCGCTATTTGTGTGTTACCGAAGTCTGCCCAGAGGTCTAATCGGTCAACCGGTCAACGACAATTTTTTTTTGTTGCTTTTTTAAAAATTATTTGGTTGGTAACTTATTAATTTAATAAAAAAGAAAGACTAACAAACACAATAAAAAAATAATATTTAATAAGAATAAGTTAGAATAAAGAGTTTGATGCGATAAGTGCTAAAAAGTGAGTAACTAAAATAATAAAATAGCTTTAATTTAACTAAAAAATTTAAAAGTTTAGTGTGGATGCTCTAATCCTTCGATAGGCATTTTATTAATCATTACTTTTCAATCTATTACTCAATTATTTGTCTGATTACCATATGTTTGGCTGTTTGCATTCATAAGTTTTATTTTAACTAATCACAACGTTGTTGGTCATAATTACTTTCGATTTTCACGTTACCCTATGTCTAAGTGACATAATTTTTTTTTTTTTTTTAAAAAAAAAGTAAGTGAATTAGTTCAATAATCACTTTTGTGCATTTCTATCTGGAAAGTGAAGAGTTTTTATTTATTTTTTTATTTTTGGTGGTTATACACAGAGATTGATTAGTTCTCATCCATTATAAAGAATTGTCAATCTTATTCAAGTTTCGGTTAAATTAAAAATTACCGATAAAAAAATGATAAAATTTTAAATAAGGTAATTCGTGTTTAAGAGAGGGGAAAGACTAAAAAATGTATACTATATATACTTTAAAACTAAAGAAGAAAATGCTATAATTTTATACTTTCTGAGTCACAACTAAAAGAAAAAATTATAACTAAACACCAAATAAAATATAAGTAAAAATTATATAGTCATAACTAAAATATTATCATAACTAAATAAAAAAAATTAATTATAACTAGGGGTGAAATCGGTTCGGTTTGGTCAGTTTTTTCACTAGTTTTGCACCGAACCGATAATTTCGGTTTTTCATATTTGTGAACCGAACCACCCAGAAAAATGACATAAACCGGCGCGGTTCAATTTATTACGGTACGGTGCGATTTTTTCGATTTTTCTGTTTTTTGGCCTTTTTTTTTCCTGGTTGAGCCTCACATTTTAGGCCTATATTTCTATCCATTTTGTATAAAATTTGGGCTCAGACTATGTAATTCCTACATAGGTTTGGGGCCTCACATTTTGGGCCTATTAATATTATATAAGTCGGTTCGATTCGTTGCGATTCGGTTCAAAAAACCAAAAACCGTAAACCGAACCGAATGTACAAAAAAACATAAATCGAACCGAACCGAATGATTGAAAATTTAAAACACCGACCGAAAACCGTTCGGTTCGGTTGGTTCGGTCCTTCCGGTTATTCTTTCACCCCTAATTATAACTAAAGAATAAAATAACATAATTAAAGATATATAGTTCATCATTTTCAAGAGGTGTATAGTAAAATTTCCCTTTAAGAGAGACAGAGAGATAGGGTTAGGTGAGGGGAGAGAGAAGTCATGGTAAAAGGGAGGGGAGAGAGAGAGGAGTGGTAAGAGGGGATAAACTCCCCCATACTTATAGCTCTCCATACTTTTTTTTGTGAGCTCAAATTTGAACTTATATCGATGATTTAAATCATCTACTTTGTAAATTCCGTAATAAATATCATCTATATAAAAAAATCAATTTCATCAAACATCTATAAATATAAGAACAAATCACATTTTGTTTTATAAAATGAATAGCAAATAGAATTATAAACTTAAATCATTCATTTTTTAAAACAAAATGTGATTTATTTGTTTTTGTCCGATAAATTTAACTTTTATTGTGAAATCTATGAAGTAAATGGTTTCGATTATTAAAGTGAGCGAATTAAAATCTACAAGAAGAATATGGATACATATAAACAGATGAAATATAGAGGAGTAAAAGGGAGAAGGTTAGGCGAGGAAGGAGGTAAAAGCAAATAAAAACATGTAAAACGTTTAAGAAAGTGTGAAATGAGAATTGAAATTTTAATTAATTTGCCATTATCTCCACCTTAGCATAACCCCATTGTGCCCTTGTCATTTAATCATATCACTAAACCCTATGAAAAAACTAGTTAGTTATCAATATGATAAACAAAAGCAAAAAAGCTTACGTCTACCAAAAAATTTGCCTAGTGTGTCAAATTTTGATGCTATTAATCAGATTCCAAGAAGTTCATAAAACAGAGCTTGGAAACATGAACAAGAAAGTTTACTGCTGAAAAAAAAAAAAAAAAGACCGATTGTAGCGCAGAAAATATCCGTCATCTGTTTTAGTGAAATCATAGGCAAAAAAGTTAAAATAGAACAGAAACTTACATCCGAATACCATAACAGTAATTCAAGTGGTCTCAGCAGTGGGTTGGGTCAGCCCAAAGCTCACCAGCAACTTACTCAGCGACTCAGGCGAGCTCACCTGGTACTTCACCTTCCCAGAAGACAAGAACACCTCAGCAAGTTCAAGCTTATCAGATGTAAGACTCGTGCTGTCCATAGTCTTGCTAAGCACCTTCAGCGCAAGCTGTACTGCCTCTTCTCTTGAAATATCATCCTTGTAATCCTGCTTAAGCATTGACTGCGCGGCCTGATTGTTTGCCCCAACTGCCGCAGCCTTCCAACCACCATAGTTTCCACTAGGGTCGCTCATGTAAAGTTGGAACCCGTAGTTTTTATCCCAACCTGCAAACAAAAATGACACACCAAATGGTCGAAGCCCACCAAATTGCGTGTACCCTTGTTTGGTATCGCATAGAGACTGAACTAGCTGTTCAACTGGCATTGGCTCCTGGTAAGCATACGTGTAGCGTTGTGCTTGGACTCGAGCTGTGTTGATAAGAATGTTGGCATCAGACATGATTCCAGCCACGGCACATGCAACATGGTCATCGATCTTGTACATTTTCTCAGTGGATGTTGAGGTTTGTAGGAGTTTGGAAGTGACTTTCTTTTCCCCAACTAGGACAACCCCGTCTTTTGATAGTATCCCAATTGCAGTCCCGGCGTTTCCGATCGCTTCCATCGCGTATTCGACCTGGTAAAGACGACCTTCTGGAGAGAAGATTGTTGTACGGCTGTCATACCTTCGAGACATCTAAAATTGAGGGAAATCTTGATAGATCAGTTAAGAGAAAAATAATGTAAATGATATTGAATTATAGATACACGGAATTTCGTAGCAACTGAGCAGAAACGAAGGGAGGAAAGAACATTCATTTTAAAATGCTTTGAGAGCTGTCAGTACTTCAACATGTGGTGGTTGTAGAAGATACAACTGAATCATAACTGAATTATCTTTGTATCTAAGGAACTCTACATTATTTTATTTATCGTAAATTACATTGGCACCCCTTGAGAATTCCGACAAATATAAGGATACCCCCAACTTATAATAACATCGCATGGTAGGATGGTCTACTGATGGTCATCAACAGGCATTCTGATTTTACTATTTTGCCCTCATGGTTAATTAAGTACATCACACCAACACCCCTAAGGTTTCTAGAAAATACAGGGGCCAAAAGTATAGTTTAGTTGCAAGTCAGTTGGATCTTTTTAGTTCAGTCCTAACTAAATATCGGAGGACCAAAGCTTCTGACAGAAAGAGGTTAAGTAACCAATATGGAGTGACTATACCTTTAGTCACTGTCCAAAGGTACTGAGATAAAGCAGTTATGAGTTCCTGGCAATGGTTACCATTTTATATGTGATTGAAATGATGGAAGGATTTAAAAGTAAAGTTTCCTATGTAAATAACAATACAAGTACTGTACTACGAGTGTACGACTATTCAGCTTTCATGGAAATTATACTACCATTGTCTGGACAGCAACATAGCTTATGCGAACGGACATGTCACAAATTAATAAGACAGAAAAGTCACTGTCTAATTTAAATACTCAGACCAGACACCACTATTTACAAACTCACAGAATGATGTGAAATTCAAATCACAAGGTCTGAATAACATGAGTGACAACTCCCAATCACTGTAACTTACAAGCCTACTCACCAGAATCACCTCCTGCATCATCAAAATTATATAAAACAAAGCAATTTTACAATGTTTTATTGTTTCCATTGGGCACGAAACAATTTATTAGTCATGAAAGTTACTGTAGGTACACAACTTAGTGTCACGTACCGACTCATTAGGGATGCGATTTTTACAGCAAGCACCTTACAAGCGCATTAGTTTGTGAGTGGCAAGGTAGGTAGGGTAAATCCCTATTGCATCTCATGGGTTGGCCATTGGGCATAATTCACGGTATGCAGTACCACTCGTGGAGCCGACTTTTCGGGAGGATGACAAGTGTCCAATTCGTGACACTAGGCTCCACAAAGTGGAATCACCACGTTATCACCATGTTGTCATCTCCTATGGACATGGTGCCACGTTTTAGTTTAGTGAGGTGCACATGGACCAATCATGCACCCCTACATGTTCCCTTTTGTGATCAAGCTATGCCGGATGAGGATATAGCATGAGTTGCCTTAAACTCAAGCCTAGGCAATTAAGGCTTAAGTGTGACACACCGATCAATTGGGTTAGTGTTTTGAAAAGAATGCCTAAGCACTCGCTTTGGTGAGAAGCTAGGCAAGACAATGCCTCAAAAGGATTGAGGCGAGGCAACATGGAGAGGGGAGGAGGAGGCACTCGCTCCTGGCTTAAGCATGAGACACCCTAGAGACTGTGGTTGTTTTTTTGGGTTAACTACATGAACAACCCCTCAACTACTATTGAATATCATTTTACCCTCTCAACTTCAAAAACATAGATTAGACCCCTCAACTATAAAAATTAAAATAATAATAATAAATAAATAAATAAATAAAAACCATAAAAATGCTCCTTCCAGATGGGGAAAAGTGACAAATTTCCAGTTAAGAGGGTTGAAATGTACAGTTTTGAAGTTGAGGGGAGTAAAGTGATCCTAGTAATAGTTGAAGAGTGTCTGTAATTAACCATTATGATTTGATCTCATCCATTCAATGTTTAGTTATAATTAACATTTGGCACACCAAATCATACATTGTTAATATACAAAACTTGCCCAAGGATCCTCTGTCCCCAAATAACCCCGTCTCAAATCACTCACAACCATTGGATATGTCTTGAGATTTTCACATCTTGGGATTCTCATATGATCCAATGGTTGTGAATGATTTGGGAAAGGGGACAAGGGGCAGGGTTATTTGGGGACAGAGGATCCTTGTTGCCTAAACTTTACAAATCACTTAAATGTGTAAAAAACAAAGAGGGATAAACACAATTCCCATAAAGTAATTGTCATAATATTTATAAAAGAATAAACAAAAGGTTTATTGGGTATTTTGCTCCAGTTTACTGGAATCTACTACTATATATATATATATATACAAGACCGCATTTACCCATCTCCGGTGCAGTTGATTTTCACTATCACATTTTGGGTTTTTAGACTAAAAAAAGCCACTAAAAAAAAGTCATTCCAAACCACAATTAACATTTTTTCACCTCATAAAAAGCCCCCCTCCAAAAAAAAAAAATCCCCAAAAAACCACTAAAAAAGGCCACATCCCAAACGACCCTTTTATACCATCATGTCAAAAATCCATTCAGATTATTATTTGCCACAGACCCCATCAAATTTAATTGTAATTGTATACCTATAAGCTATCTTACAAGAAATTCAGTATTACTGCACACACCAAAACTCAGAATAATCAACAATTCGTTGCTAAAGAAACATACAACTATCATAATCAGCATAATTGCAGCAAAAAAATCACTATTGTAACGCAGAAATTCAGCAACAGATCAAAGCAATTAACACAGCACAAGTGCAAAATAAACCCAGATGTAGAATTTAAAATAAAAATAAAATAAAAAAAGGTCTGGTTACAAGAGAAGAGAGCAGAGAGAGATACAGAAAATGAGGAAAAGGAGAAGACTGACCTGGGAACGGTAGCTGGAGATCGAACCTGGGCACAGCCACACACCAGAGAGAGAGAGAGAGAGAGAGAGAAGGAATGAGCCCTACTTGACTTCTTCTTTGGTTTTGTTTTTTTAAGATTTTTTTGATTTGGTAAATTACAAACACACACTGAAATTTTTTTAAATTATAAATTATCTGCCGTAATTTTAAAAATTACATTACACCTTTTAAAGTTTTTAATTTCATAATAAATAGATCATTTTATCAATAAATCATCAAGTTAATTAATAGTTTTTAATAATGTTAAATTTTATTTTAATTAATAATTCAGATAATTTTATTATTATATAGGTGAACAGTTAGAAATTTCACTTTTTTAATTAATTCTGTTAAATAAAAAATTCTGACGGAGAGATATTTGTAATTTTCCAAACTATAAGGGCAATTCGTATTTTAAGTAAACCTCAGGATATATTTATAATTTACCCTTTCTAAGTAAATTCCCCAGATTTATTCATAAATATTTTATTTTTAAAATTTATATCTAAAAAAATTATGAAAAAAGTGAAAAAAAAAATCACTAAAAAAAATTCAATACGGTTATTTATTTATTTTTAGTGATGTAAAAAAAAAATCATCGAGCTGAAAGAATGAACAACGAATGAAGAAAGTAAAAATTTTACGTAAGCCTTGGGCCTAGCTCAACTTGGCTGAATTTAATGATGGGCTTGGCCCAATCAAGTAGGCCATCAAGAAATTTTCTTAGCCTGTGTTTGATGAAAGGATTTGACGAGAAAAATAAAAAAATAAAAAAAAAGGAAAAAGAAAAGAAAAATAGAAATAAAATGAGAAAGAATTGATAAAATTCAAATTTTAAGTTATATTTAATTGAGTTGAAAAATGAAAAAAACAAAACAAAAGCCTTAAAGACAAAAATAGGATTGTATTTCCCTCACATTTTGTTTTCCATGTATTTTCCATTATAACTAATGAAAAAGTGGAATTACATTTCTTACATCAAATCATCTAACTAAAGGCATGCTTAGAGTCTAAACCTTAGGTGATTGTTAAACGATTGGGCCTCTGGTCCATAACCAATAGTTTTGAATCTAACAAAGGCTTTAAAAATAAAAGACTAGCTAGATGTGAATTATTGGGGGGATTCTATTTACAGCCAAAAAATTATTAAGTGCTCCTAATTTCTAAGGACACCTTATTTAATTATTTAAAATTTTATTTTACTCTCATTATACCTTATTAGTTTTTCTAAATTACCCTCAAGGTAAACCCAAATAATAAATAATAAACAAACTAAATTATTTCAAATCTTTTCAATACAGAAAATAATTCTCCAATACAGAAAAGAAAAAAAACACAAACTTATAAGCACATAAGCATTATAAATATAGAAAAAAACTAAACTTTTACATAAGCATTATAAAACTTTTCAATACAGAAAGAAAAAAAAAAAAACTTTTACATTATATCATATCCACAAGAATGCTTGTGGAAAAGTAAAAACGAAACTTATAAGCACATAAGTATCAAGCACTAATAAGAAATGCTAGTTCTCAAACAATATACTATTTAAATGACAAAATAAGAACAACTCCAATAATATGTTATTATTAATTTAATTATTGAGCCCTTTAATTTTGTCAAAAAAAGATATATAAAATAATTGATAGTGCTCTACAAAAATTGTGAAACCCCTTTATATAAATACTTATCTCCTTTTTTATGTGCTTAAAAAAACTATTTTGATTATTACTCTCATTCATTATTTGATTTTGTTCAAACTTTCTTCTACGGTTTAGGATTTCAAAATAATAAAAAACAATGATGTTGATGTTGATAGTGCGTTTTGGTAGGGTGGATTGGAGTTTCGGAGGGAGGAAGAAAAAAAAGAAGAAAAAGAAATAACTTTGATTTATTAGGGAAGAAGATACAGAGATTTGAATAAGAATAACTGATTAGGGTGTAGCATGTGAAAATATATATATATATATATATATTGAGAGTTAATATGTGTTGTCCTTATTAATAAATTCATATTAGGATAGGAATTAAAATTTATGAATTTAAATTAAGCATATTGAGACGTATTTTGGATTCGAATAAAATCTCCCAAATTGTTGGTCTAAATGGGCCTTATGGATAATTGGGCCAAAAGGTTTAGTGAGAGTGGCCCATACCCGAGAGTCGTATCCTCACAATCTACAGTGGCCCACAGTGGGTGAAAGGACATTTATGCCCATATTTTTGATTTGTCTATAATTAAAATTTTAAAATAAAGACTTTACAAGAAAATTTTAATGTGTGATTGATTAATTTGCTACAGTACTGTCCCAATTATTTTTTGTGCACCTTAGGTTCTTGTTCTAATAAGTTTTATTTATTTTTAAATTTTGTTTGAACTACAAATTTGGATGGCGATTTAAAATGGAAAGAAAAAAGTTAAGAGAGATGTAAATAAAACATAAATTTTTTTTTTTTTGGTCTGTGTGTCTATTTTCCTTTATATTTCCAAATTTATGATCCAAACATAATGTTACCTTATTGTGTGTGTCAATTTCCGACCACACTGGCAAACAGGTACTCAGCTGGAGAACACCGGCAGAATAGATTAAGTTCGAACAACCTGTCACAGAAAGATAAGATTCCAGCGGTGGTTCGCCCACCCAGGAGCACTCCGACGATCAAGTCAGTTATCTCTCAAAGGTAGCAAAAGTGCTTAACTCACTATTCAGAATACAAAAAGCGTACCTTAGACTCACGAGGGTGCCTTTCTTTTATAGCCAACACTGACCTAATCCCAATAGAAACGTAGCTTCAATGGACTCTGGCTCAATGCTAATCCTGGATTCGTAGCTGGATTGGGATAAACCCTCTAAGAGTCTTATCTTTAGCCAAACTGAAGTCCTCCATGCATTGTCTACAACAATCAAGACTATCCTCCACCGATAGCCCAAAGCAGTTATTTCTAAACAGAAAATAAATGCACAAAATGGATATTAAATCAACATTTCAATTAGGTGAGCGATAAATGATCCAACTACACCCTCTAATCCCTTCCCTTCCCAATTTCCACAATCTCAATTCAATCCCTCATTTCCAACAATTAATTATACAAATTAATCAATCAATGTAATTAGGGTATTTTCCATAACTTACATTTCAACCCCCACGGTTTCATTTTCATTAATGTTTTAACATTAATTTCACTTTTTCATGCCAAACATGCAACTAGGTTTTATATAGTTAAAACCCTAACTTTTTGTAAAATTACACAAAGGCCCAAACTCTCTCAAAATTTCCCAACAACCCCCAACATATCAAAATACTAGAATTTAAAGACAAAGCTCATATAGAGGAGTAGGATATCCCTACCTCGAAGTTAGAGCTCGGATGGAGAAGAGACTAAAACCAAAGTGCTCCAAAAACCAAGATTTTCGGATCAAAACGACGCCCTCGATGATCCACACAATTTTTACAAAGGCCGAAGAGAGGGAAGACACTCTAACTAGATCAAACCCTAGAGAGAAGGGAGTTTCTAGAGAGAGGGGCTCTCAAAAAAGAGTTTTAGAAAAAGTAGGAGAGAGAAAGAAAAGTGAAAAGTGATTTAAAATCACCCAGCGGATAACTCATATACGCATGACCCGCTCGAGCGTAGAATAGAGCGCTCGAGCGTAAAGCACAAACATCTGATCCCGCTCGAGCGCATAGATGACCACTCGAGCGCCAAGAAACAAAAGAAAAACACATCCGCTCGAGCGTGAAAAGCCAGTCCGCTCGAGCGCAGATTTTCATCTCCTAGAACTTTTCAAGAAAAGAACCACCCGCTCGAGCGCCAACAATCCCGCTCGAGCTCGACCCGCTGGAGCATGAGAAACCCGCTCGAGCGTGGAAAACACACCTGCAGAAGTTTTGTAGGGTCACGAAATACTGGAAGTGTGTAAACCCTGCTCGAGCGCAAGAAGACCCGCTCGAGCGGACCGCCTAAAAATTGGGCAACAAGAAGTTGAAACCAAGGCCTAACCAACCTGTAATAACCCTGCCCAAAACATCCTAAAACTCAATCAAGCGGAATTAAAGGACGACAACAAGATAGATACAACTACTACCTTCACGGAACCGAGTCCGGAATACAACAGAACAGAAAAGGGACAACCGGGATCGCTATAACCTCCCCCCTTAAAGAATTTCGTCCCGAAATTAAACACAAGTTTTTCAAAAAATAGGTTTTCTCCATTCTCAACAATATTACAACAATATTAAACAACCCGACCCATTACCGGTCAGTCCTATATCTTTTCAAGAAGTATTTCACATTACACGTAACAACCTGCATTATCAACATGCATTCCTTTGAAATCTACCAATTTCAACCTGTTTCTCACAATTTCTTAACACATGCAACATTAATATTATGCTTGCATTTCCACAGTATACTCAACATACGCAATGTTAAAACAAACTTCCATTAACCAAAACATTCACAATGTTTTTCAACTTAAGACATATACAATGCTCTTAAAGTTCAACAATATTACAGAATTTCATTACAAAATTACACATCAATAAACATGTCCGGATACTTTTCACAGACTTCCAACTCACGCTCCCAAGTGGCTTCCTCCAGTCCGTGATGTTTTCATACAACCTTTACCAAGGGAATGGTCTTACCTCGCAAGACTTGATCCCGCCTATCCAAGACCCGAATCGGTCTCTCCTCATACGAGGCATCCTCATCTACCTCTAAGTCGGTCCAATCCAACACATGGGACGGATCCAGATCATACTTCCGAAACATACTAACATGAAAGACGTCATGAACTCCGGACAACTGCGGTGGCAAAGCCAAACGATAATCAACTTTCCCAATCCTCTCGAGGATCTCAAAGGGACCAATAAACTGAGGGGATAACTTCCCACTCTTCCCAAACCTCATCAAACCACGCTTAGGTGATATTTTCAAGAAGACATGATCACCTACCTCAAACGCCAAAGGTCTCCTCCTACGGTCGGCATAACTCTTTTGGCGACTCTGAGCAGTAACAAGCCTCCTACGGATAAGCTCAACTTTCTCCGTCGTCTCCCTAACCAACTCCGGCCCCAACAAAGGTGCATCACCCACCTCAGCCCAACACATTGGA